AAAAAAATTTAAAAATTAATAAAATATAATATAAAATTTAAACTCTAATATAAAAAATTAATAAATAACATGTGCAACGCACGGGCAAAAGAAAAAAACTAGTTTGATTTAATAAAATTAAATAAAAGCTAATTGAATCCTTCATAAATTAAGAAATAATTTATGAAATAATTATGGTAGGTGTCATGGTAAGTGAGATTTAATTTAATAAAAAAAAATTTTAATTTGCATTCTTATGGTGTATTAATAATGTAATTATTATATTTTTTAATTAATTATTATTGAAAAAATATAAATTAATTTTTTAAATAATTATTTAATTAAAATAATTTACTTGATATTAATAATAAAATTAATAATAATTTTTATATTTTTTTTAATAATAATTAATATAAAAAATATAATAATTATACTTTTAATTTATTTTTTAAGTATAAATTAGATAAACTCTTAATAAAATTAAATGAGTGCTACCTTATTCCTTCATAAATTATTTATGAAGAATTATTGTCAAGGATTTAAGAAAAAACAGAATTATTCTCTCCCCTATATTTTATTATTGTTAAATATTCTCTAAAAAAATTAAGAATCACTTATGAGAGGTGAAAATAATTAAATAGGTAAAATATATTAATTGTTTTAATTTTTAAATATAAATAAAATAAATTTTAAGGTTAAAGTAACTTTTGTAGTATTTAAAATTAAAAAAATCTACATTATCATCTTTTACACGGTTATAGATTTTCCACCAAAAATTTAAAATGAAGTGATTTTACAAGTTATAGACTTTTCACCTAAAATTTAAAATGAAATGATGATACATAGATAATTTTTTTATATTAATTTTTTATATTATTAAATAAATTAATACATTTAATATTATAAATTTTAAATAAATAAAATTAATTATTTAAATAATATATAAAATTATATAAAAAAATAATATAAAAAAATTATCTCTAAATTATTTTTTTTTAAATGTAAAATAATCAATTACTTAACAAAAAGATTAACCACGTCAGCACTTAACTAAAAGGGTTGAAATTGGTGCTGAAAATCAAAATTAAAGGATATTTTTGATATTTTATGAAGTTAAAGGATAAACTTAGTTCAAAAATTAAAATTAAAAAATCAAATCGGGTATTTAACCTATCTTCATTTCTATCGATTTCAGGAGTTACAAATTGCTAAATTTTTAAGGGTTAAAGCCGATTCCAGTTCCTCAACTTCGCATATTTTCCTACTGGCACATAATATCTTAAAAAAAACACATAAAGTTAAATTAATAAACAAAAAAAATTCTAATATAATATTATATTACTTATTAAGATCTTACTGTAATGTCAGAATGCATTAAGGTCTAAAGAATTAAAAGGCTTTGCAAAAAAAAAAAAAACTAAAATTTTACTAGTATTTCGATGTTTCTTCTATGTTTTAGCTATTGATTATTAACTTCTTTAAATTATGAATAAGTTTTCATATATACACAATAATTAGCTATTCACAATTAATTTTGAGGGTTTTGCATACCACTTTCAAATTAAGGATATTTACTGAGGGCATACAACACTTAAAAAACATCAATTTAAGGTTAAAAAAACAAAAACAAAAATATCACCAACAAATCTTCATACATCTCTAAATCTATTATGAGTGTTTTTTTCTTTTCCTATTCCCTAATTCATTTAAGTGCAGGGCCCACAAGCCAAAAAAAAAAAAAAAAGAACATTTTGGGAAAAACACATGCTCTGTTGTTTATATTATCAACTTTTACGAGTTTTGCCCTCTTACTTCTTGATTTGAGCAAATGGGGCTAAATTTAACATCTCATGGTCACTTGCAACACTTGAGCATTAGTCCTCTATTACTTATGTGTTAACAACCACTTAAAATTTCAGAGAATTGAAAATTTAAGTTTTATTATAAAATTTTTTTGAGTCTCTAATTACTTAAATAATGGTGAAATAAGTCATCGTAGTTTGTAAGAAATTAGGATTGAAGTTTGATTAAGAGTTAAGAAGGGCACATGCATATCTAACAATCTTTCATATAAAACATAGTTGCATGCTTTAAAATTAGAGTTTTAATTCAACTCACCAAAATTTGGAAAGAGATGAATGAAAGTGAATAGCTTTGAAAATTTTGGACACAATTGAACTTTATTAAACATTTTGGGTGAAATTTAGGAATTTTTGTAAAGTGACAGACTTATTTGAAAATTTTGACATGTTTTGACCGAATTAAAAGAATCTGGAACATTGGGAGTTAAATCGTAAAGTTAAAATTTATTATTATTATTTTTTAAAAATAAATTAATGCAATCAAATGTTTAACTGGAAAAGGGAGTGGAAATTTGAAATTTACAAATAATTATGAAAAGAGATGTTATAGGGTAACTTTTTTATATTATATTTTAATATAATTTTTACGTATTATTAAATGAATATATATATTTAATATCACGAGTTTTATATGAATTAAAAAAATTAATTATTTAAATGACACATCATTTTGTATCAAAAAATAATATAAAAAAATTATCTCGAAATTGAAAACTTACCCTTTTAAGGTACTTTGACCCAATCAAATGTTTGAGGGACAATTTAATTAAAGATTAGTAATTAAATTTGATTGATTACTAAGTAATTATTACTTAAATATTGATTACTATACATTAACCTGAATTTAACAAAGCAACAATTTACACAAACTCGCCAAAAAAAAAAGACCGAATGGGGTACATCAACCCAAGTCCGTTTTAAGCTTATTGAAATCTCTCTTTGAACTTTTTTTTGGAAATTTATTAACTTTCAAACTTTAATATTGAATTAAATCGGCCCGTTTATGAGAGCTCATGGGTCAAGCAGTGGTTGCTCCCCGCAATAGAAGTACTTATCGGACTCTTGATCTTAGGGTCGAGTCTCCCCAATCCCCCTTCTCCCCTAAAAAAGATGTAATTCTGTTAAAAAAAAAAAAAAAAAAAGTCAGTCCTTTTACATTTTCGTATGAATTAAATTTGTCGAAATATAATAAATAATACAAACACACATCAGCATTCCGTCTTTACGCTGCAATATACGCCAAAATTGTGATGACATTGAAACATCAGGCCCATTTTTTTTACTTGGAGTCTTAGACCTATTATAAATAAAAATATATGCACCTGGCTCTTGAGGGCCTAGAGATATTAGTCACCGGTGCATTTCTCCCGGTAGGGTTCGAAACCCACTCCTTGCAAAATATGTTTAAAAAAAAAATTATAAATAAAATATATAAAATTAATTATAAAAACATGGAGTTAAAATATAAATAATTGCCCAAACTATCAAATTCAGGCCCTTGAGCCTATGGCCAATTTTGCCTCCTCATTAGCAGCATTTATGGATGATTGCCTACTCTACGGTAAATAACCATGTAACCATTGACTTGGCAAACCTATCTCTTCTCTAACAATACAATGAATTTGTTCAATTTCAAATTGGTAATGGAACAAGTTTAATAATTTGTTAAAAATTAATAATAAAAAATCCTAATTAAAACTTTGAAAAGCCATCAAAACTCTTAAATAGAAAAAAAAAAATTTCTCTAAACCATTTTTTTCCAACACCAAATATATTTCATTTTCTTTAACATAGTTAAACTCTATATTTTTTTGTTTTTTTTTTTTTTGAAAACTCCAAGGATCATGTTTCATTTTTTTTTTTTTACCTTTTACAAATGCAAAACCCCTGTTTCAATCCTAGAAACTTTTAACATAATTTAATAGTTTAACAATATAATAAATTTCAAAATCTAAATATTTTTCAATTGCAAATTATTTATCATCCAAATTATTGTTTTATAAAATACATCAAAAAATATAAAATAAAAATCCATCTCAAATTATAGGATTCCAACCTATAACATTTACATAAACCCTGATTTGTAAAGTGAAAAAAATTCCCAAATATTTTTCAAAAAAGAAGGGTTAAGGTGTGTAAAGAATTTAAAATTTAATAAAAATAATTTTACGGCAATGAAAATTAAAAGAAAATTATGTAAAAATTTTTATTGGATCTCCCAAAATTCTGGTTAAGATTTTCTTTTGAAAATTAACGAAAGTAACTGGCCTAGGATTAAGTTTGGTAATTTAGAAAAGGTTGGAGACCATTTTTGGTCAAAATAAAAGGTTGGGCAATATCTAGTATTTATGGTAAAGGTTAAGGACTGAATTTGGCATTTTCCTATAAATTATCAACGAGGAGCATTTTTCGATTCATACCTTAGCAATCTCATATGTAGCCTGGTTTAACTATCTTGCAATTGAATCTAGAGTTGATTCATAGCTTTCCTTGATAAGCGACAACTTTCTTTTATTTTTGTTCTCTTATCTATAAATTGATGAGATTTAATTACAAATTTAAGGATTTGTTTGTTAGCTAAATTCATAATGCAAAATTAAGGATTCTCCTGGTTATTATTTTTTTTTTGAATTGAAAATTGATTAAAGATTATAGATAACAAATTCATGGTGCTATTGTAGAACTATAAATTTTTATTTTTCTTTCATGTACATTGAAATGATATAATTTTAAAATAATTTTTATTTTAAAATAATTTTTCTTTTAATTCTTTAGAGGTCCGACACTTATATTTATACATATATACACAAGTTAGAATTTTTTTTTTTGGTGGAATATAAGAGTTAGAATTTACTTACACAATCCTTACACGTCATTCATACAAAAATCTTGACAATTCATCTTTCTATTATGAATTGTTGAGATTTGTACACTTTTAATCTTACTTTTTAAAGGTAATTATTTTTTTCATCTAAAAGTTATTATAAGTCTTAACAATTCATAGTGAAGAATGATCAAAATTTTATGTAAATAATGTGTGTAAAAATTATGTGTAATGGAGTCCTAACTTATATAGATAAAGATTGATTTTTGTCAATTAGGTCTCTAATCTGTCTCATTAAGATATACTCAATTTTGATTAAAATAAATTATTTTAATCATTTTCAATAAAAATTTATTGAAATAACGTAATTTTATAATTTTTTTTCTCTTACATTTTTAAGAGACTTGGCTGATAAATACTTTTCTCGTATATATATAACGGTTTAATTTTTGAGAAGTCTCTTGTAGATCACAATAATGAAATGGAATCTTTTAAAAGTGAGTTAAATAAAATAATATATACAAAAAAAGGGTGGTATTTAAGAGTCTTGTGAGAGACTATGACCATTGTTGCTCTAAATATTACTTTCTTTAGTTTGATTTAGTTATTTTAAATTAATTATTTATAAATTTAATTAGATAATTTTATATAACAAATAGATAATAATTGAAATTTTTTTATACATAGTTCTTATTAAGTATTTTTATTCAGATTAAAAATTTTTGTAATTATCATTTATTTATTATATAAAATTATTGAATTAATTTACATATAAAGTTGAGGAACTAGGAGAATTAGAAAAAAGTAGAGGGAGTATATTTAACACAGTAATAATAATCATTTTTTTATAATACAACAATAATAATCTTAAAAACTGGATTCGAAAATCCTTACATCAAGTACATCCCAATTCCCAACCCTAAAAAAATTGTTCACATCATACCACAATTACAAAACATAATTGCCGCAAAGGTACATTGAATTTGCATTACAACTGATGATATCTGCAGAATGTGACAATAAATTATTGTTCGAAACCAATCATAAATCTCATACTCCCGAGAGTTAGAAAAAAAAAAAAATTTTTTTGGTGAATATGTATCATCTTATATAATTAATTCAAAATTAAATTTGATAAACGAATAATGTCTTATATATTTAATTCAAAATTCAATCTTGAGTTTAACGCTCAAGAAAATTAAATTCTCTAGATCAAATCAATGAGAACGATGCACCCACAAACCGTTCAAATCAAAACCCCGAAAAAAGAAACAAGGAAAAAAGAAAAAAATCAGTTATGATACGTATCATGTAGCTGCAGCTGTCCTGCATAATAATTTCACATGACAATATGCAAAATAGCGGACGTAAACTAGCTGCTCAATCACTACGGTTCATGGTCCTTTAATCGCAGAGAGATATTCAAATAATATAAATAGCAACGACCCTTTCCGTCACACCATATAAATGGAATAACATTCATCTGGTCACAAAAGTGCCTCTTCATAGCAACTCACACTAAACCCATAAATAAAATTAAGAACTGGAACCGACATGTGGTATATATGGTGCTTGAAACCCATTCCCCACAAATACAGTATTTCAAAAACTAAATTAACTTTTTGGGAATTGTTTTCTTTTCTAACAATATAACAATCATACAGCAGCAACGGCAACATTGGCAGCATGGCCAACACATCAAATCAAAGCAAATTTGTCTAACAGTACTAAAATGTGCCTAAAGCATGTCAGATCCAACATGCCCATGTGACACCAATGCCTCAATAATCACAGGAAGGCATCTTTCTCCAGCAGCTTTAGTACCTCATGCTGATTGTTGAGCTTGGCAACATCAATGGGAGTCTTCCCATCCATGTTCTGAAGAGTGCTGCACAATCAACAAAGAGGAATGTATGATAAAGGATAAATAATAAGTTAAGATCCACTTTACTCAATGTTATGAATGTATTTGTTGTCTTACACAGCAGCACCATTCTCCAGCAATAGCGCCACACATTCCTTCCTTCCATAACCAGCCGCATAATGAAGTGCAGTATTCTTATTCTTATCCAAGGCATCCACAGTTGCACCAGCCTCGAGAAGGATTTGAGCACATTTCACCTAAAATCAGAAAGAATATATAATACATATCAGCTTACTCAGATGAAATAGACATTATCAATTTGCAAGGATATGCTCAAAACTAAAGAAAAATAGCAGCCCGATTCCCAAACTTTAGTATAATCTACTAAATAGTTGTTTACAATGATGTAGTTGTATATTTTCTATCACTCTTTCTTTAAATAGATGCTCCCATCCCACCTTAAAATTGAACACAAACTATTGTTTGTGAAAAGGGTGGGCATATAAGTTACATGACAGAGGAAGAACTAGCACTAGTACCATCAAGATTATACTTTTTAAGACCTAAACAAAACTTGGTGGTTAACGCCATTAGATTTGGTGTGCACAACCTATCTTGAAGGACACGATTACTACATTAACCATGCAAAAATTTAGCACCCCATTTTTTCCCAAGTAAAAGAAAAAATAGGGTTTTTGAAACAGCATACCTCACCATATCCACATGCAAAATGTAATGCTGTCCTTCCTTCCGAATCTTCTTCATCCTTATCCGCACCAGAGGCTAGTGCATTTTTCAACCCCTAGTTGGTGAAACAGAGTTAAAGACTTTCAGATAACTTAAAAGAAGGTAAATCTGTGCCAGACATTCACTTAATTAAGCATTTAATTTCCATGCCAAAGCCATACATCTTCATTTTTACAGGTTGGTTCTGTATATCAACTGTTGTGAGTGATACCCTTTTAACTTAATACCAAAAAAGCAAGAGATGCATGAGTTTTATCAGACAAAGAAAGAGACAGATATAATTATATCCTTTTCAAGATCTATCAAAAGTTCTAGACAAATCATATGCAGCAACCTATTGAAACAACCCAAGTCACATAAACAAGTAGGACACTTTGGAAAAAAAAAAACAATGAAGAATGAGATTACCATGTTTAATCTAACCTTGATTTGTAACCAATATTTCCAGATAAGGAAACACATTGAGGTAACTACAAGCAGCACATCCAAATCAGACAACTAGCAAACATGCAGCTATTACTCTTTTCTAGATTATTATACAAGCATCTGTACTGGCATACTCCACTAGAATGAATTCCAAATTTCCAATTAATATAACACAGCTTTACTAAACTTAACAGCTGTTGATTATCATTATGTTATCCATGAGCACTCAGCACTCTACTCATTTCTTTTGCTGTAAATTATGCAGGCCAATTTACTGACCAGGATTCTTTTGACCAGTATCAATATCCAAAAAAATGAGGTTCCAGAAGCCAATATATCCATGGTTGGAGATAACTTTCAAACAATGAAGCAAAGTTCCTAACATTCTGAATTGATGGATAAGGAGTGACATTGACTAAAGAAGATGGCCTAAAATACAAATTAACAAGATTATATTCAAGGGTTTTTCTAACCTGTGCCCTTAGTGCCTTTTTGACATTAATGTCAACTCTTGTCATTTTTGTTACTAATTAATGTCAAAGAAGTATATTAATTACACCCTTAACCTCTACTCTTAAGGCAAAGGTTTAAAAAAACCCTACATTTAATACCCCTAAAACACAAAAAATACAATTAGCACATTGTTGAACATAAACAAAAATAAAATATTTCTTATGATCACTGCAAATAATTTTCAGTTTGATGGTTAATGCTAATGGGGATTTTCAAAATAAGAATAGTGAGACCTTCTGAATTATCCTTTTCTCTGAAGGTTAGTTCTAGGTCAATCAATGTATGACAATGCTCTGTGACATAATTTTGTGCATAGAACATTTAATTCACTCTTGCTCCCAGAAAAAGGAAAAGCAAAATCATGCCATTGCATCATTTGAGTGGCATAAAAAAATTAAAAAAAAGTCTCTAAACATTGTGATAGGAGACTGAATGCATCTTTTTCAACTTTAGTAACAGTGCAACATAAAAACTCCCTCAATAATAATAATAATAATAAATTCAATAAAATTATTCCAATTAAAACTTAAAAAATAGGTAATCATAGTAACACATGAGGTGTTAGCGCTCACTCTTCTGACACAAGTTAAAAGTAAGACCAAAAATGTTGCAGGAACCCTTCATCAAGTTATAACAGATGAGATAAACATGGAAGGAATTTCATGAGGTCCCTATAGTAATTTACACCCAATGCCTTACAGAGAATGGGATATGACAAAATGATATTACATACATACATACATATATATATATATATATATATATATGAAAATAGTGCATATCAATCCCAACCTCATGGAATCTGAATTTAAAAACAAAATCATCTAATGAATATTTTGAAAAATCAACCATTTAAGTTAATGTTCTATACATTTGAAAATTGATTATACAAAATTAAACAGACATATGTTAGAAAATATAGTTTCTAGATTGTAAGATTATAGATCTTAGATTAAGTCGAAAATTGGCATGCATGATCTACATAAATAGATTAGTTGATCCAATGGTTGGTTTTCAAAATATTCATGGATGACTATGTTTTTGAATTGAGACTCCAGGGAGTCAGGACCTGTATGCACAATTCTCTCTCTCTCTCTCTCTCTCTCTATATATATATATATATATATATGTATATATATGTTATATCAATTCATTAAACCCTCCATTCATGAAAATTTCTACTATACAATGGGATACCAGCTGACGTGGTATTCTCATCCAATAATTGCATGCCATCTCATTCAAAAATACACATATTTTTCATTTCAAACAACTCATCACACTTTAACAAGAAACCATCAAACAGAAAATTTCTCTTAACCCCATTTCTATTTTCTCCCTCATCACACTTTAACAAAGATCTTGAAGCTTTGTCAAGCTCTACCATGGAAACTCCTCTCATCCCTTAAAGCATAATCCCTACCTAGCAGCTACCCATGAATTCAGTTCACTGCACTTCCCATTCTTTGATGCAATTTTACAACCCCACCAAAAATCACCCTAAAACCCATAATGTCACTCTCAATTTCTCAATTTGCAAAGTGTGGTTTAGAGTAAAATTAGTTCACACAGCCTCATGAGATGGTTACCTTACAAATGTTCCTTTCCAAAGGAGTGTTCAACCCTAATGACTTATCCCAGTAATTAGAACTTTAAAACAACATCAATGGAATAAATTAAGAAAAAACAAAGAAATCCTTTTGTTCTGTGAAGTCTTGGGTTTAATTTCAGTTCTAACCAAAAGGATCAAATTGTAGTGTGGATGAATTGAATAGAAAAGATGACGGGCATGGTATTGAGAAGCAAGAAAGAAGAAATCTCTTTTATGAGCAAATTAAGGTTTTTATGGTAGAAAAGGATTTTTGGATGCAATTAATGGTGTTTTACTAGAGATCAGCTTGGGTAATGACTCGTTGCAGAGAGAACCGAGAAGATGAAACGAACGGAAAAGAGGGGTAGAAGGTAGATTTGATAGATAGTGTTAACAAGATTTTCTATATTGATAACATGTTAGTTTACTAGTAGTTGGGGATAAGGATGGGGAAGATTTTTTCCAATTTCATGGCCTCAGAATTAAAAAACCAAGAATCCAATAAGCAAGTAAAAAGAAATACAGCCCAAACAGAGAATGAACACCAACTTCAAAAGGATGGAAATATGGAGTATTGTACCTCAACATCACCAACACTAGCACACTGGTGAACAATTGACTCATCTTCATTTCCCACTTCATCAGCTTCATCTGCTCCAGAATCTCCAGCAGAAGTTGTTGCATCGCCAGAAACTGCAAGACCCATTGCTTCACCCAACTTCTGTAGCACATCTTTATCATTCCAGTACCTAGATCAACACATCTTTCATAAATTACATGAAGAAAAACAACTGAAGCACCCCTTACACTAAAAACCTTCTGGTTGTGTAATGCTGGTAAACTATCAGCATTTTGATGACACACCTCATCATTGCAGCAGGACCTCCTGTCTCTATTTCTTCAATAATTGGCTTCAGTGTTGGATCTTCCCTGATTTTTGCCATCCTTTCCTCCATTTGGTCTTTCTGCTGTGGGTTAGCAAAACTGTCAAGCATGTTAGACATTGCTGGATCCTGAAGAAAGAAAAGATAGACATTATCCACCAGATGAAATTTTTAAATAACACTGAGAAAGTTAAAAGCTGACAAGCAAGATACAATCTTAAACTGCAAGAAGAGACGATGGATACCTGCATTAATGCATTACCAAGATGCTCGGCCATAGACATAAACTGGGGATTCTGCATAACCTGTTGCATTGTGGAAAAATACTGCTGTGAATCAAACTGTGGGATACCATCTTCAGCAGTTGCACCTTGAAAAGTTTTAGTTAGCTGCTCAGCCATCTGGTTGAATGAAGGATCTTTTGCAATCTGTTCAGCCAATTCCTTGATACTTGGATCCTAAGCATATCACATATAGATGTTACATTATATAGCCACAGGAAGAGAGATGTTGAAAGTTGAAAGGTACACAAAGTCTAGGACTATGAGAAAGGAAAAAAGAAAGACAAGATTGAGTTTAATCCCAGCCTAGCCTGTGTAAATAAGAGATTTTGAAACTGAACAGATCCAAAAAGTTCTTAGCGCCAAATAAAAGATAAAATCAAACACAGGTTTGACTCTCATATGATCCCAATAAAATTGTGAAGTTGTATCAATAAAGGGGGATTAGTGCAACTTAGAAAGAAGCTTAGTGGTAAAGAAACATTCCATGCAACTGTTTTGAACAAGGAAATGAAATTAGACAAACGCACATTCAGCAATCCAGACATAGCTGAGAAATCAAAAGGATTGCCAAATCCAGCTCCCTCGAAGGGATTGGCAGGAGCCCCTCTTCGTCCTGACTGTGACTCCCCTGTGGATGTCTCAGGTTTTGAAGTTTTGTTCTCTGTCAAACTTGATTTCTCTTTCTCATCTGGGAACAACACGACAAATGTAAGACTACAATCTCCTTAACAACCCAGAAGTTCACAAATGAAATAATACATCCATTAGCGTAAACCCTCAAGGAAAATTCATCAATTGATAAAGCTTAAGCAGACAACCTTTGAACCAGGTTAGGCAAAAATTATAAAAAGGAGCAAAACTCCAAAAGGGTAAAAATTAAAAATTTAAGATAATCATAAGACCCCCATGAACAGCATAAATTGAAATAAATTGGAAGCAATATGGTGGCAGTAATAGCTAATCTGTCAACCAGTTTCCAACCAATACCATGAACCAGGTAAATTCCTATAACACGCCCTCTATAACATCAATCAACATTAATCTTTACCCAAAAGCAAATATGACCCTTAAGACCAGACTGAATACTTAAAAGGATCTAGAAAGCTAATCTGGCATAACCGGAATCCATTAAAGATCACAAAAGAAGAAAAATTATGAACTTGACGAAGATCTCGACAACAAAAACCCAAAAAAGAAAAATAAAACAGACAAACAAGAATATGAATTGAAACACACCAGATGGAGAATTCTTCTCCAATTCCTTGTTCGAATTGGAAGCCATGAGTTGATAGAATGATAGCTGAATCAGAAGGATTAAAAACAAGAAAACAGAAAAATGTTAGAACTAATTTTCAGAATCAAAATCTTGAAATCGAGTTTGGATTGAAAAGTGGAGACCGAACCAGATAAGAGAGCAAGGTAAGGATTAGAGAATCAAAAACCCTCAGCGCAAGTTTATATTGAAACGCACACACGGAGATGGAGATTGGGATTAGCTCGGTGGGCCATCTCAATCTCATCACAGAACTCTTTATGACCATTTTGCCCTTGCTTTTTTATTTTTTTACGTGAATGATATTCCATTCTGTGCAATACGAAATTACCCTCCCCTTCCTAGCTCTTTTCAGTTTTCACCTTGTTTTCGAATTCAAATTGGAGATTTAAATCCAAAGTTTCTAATTATTAAGACGTGTTCACATCAAGTTGTCAAAATTAAGATTTTAAGTAAAATGGTTTTGATAAGATAAAAGTGAAATCATAAAATCGAATTGGTGTAATTGAAAGTTCATTAAATTAGTTTGAAATTTATATATTATTAAAATTTAACATCAAATATTTAAATTAAAAATTTATCTAATAAATTTTATTACTAATTAATTATTTCAAATCTTTTTTGAACATTTTTCTATTTTATAGTTATTAAATTATTTTAAATTTTAATAATTTTGACCTTAAAAAAATTTATAATAAAATATTATTAATTTATTTTATAAAAAATTGACAAAACTTTAAAAGTTTTGCTTGAAAAACTCAAAAATGTCAATTTATATGGTAAAGATTCAAACCATCACCAATCAACCGATAACTAATCTATAAACACAGCTATACCAATGCATTGGTAGTGATTATTTGTTACATTTTGACTAAAAATCTCTAAAATCTTTTAAATTTGTAAAATCTCGATTTTATTCGATTTGATCCGATTTTACTGTTCCAAGTTTGTAAACTCCCGATTTTAATTTCGATTTTACACAAATTACATAAGTAAAATCATAAAATCGTAAAATTGTAAAATCATAAAATCATGCAATTTTATGAATAAAATCATGATTTTATGAGTAAAATCACGATTTTGACAACCATAGTTAAGACACCTGACTACAACTATTATTATGCGGCAGCCATGGAAATGGGTGTGCTTCGGTAAAATACAAAAAATCAAATAATAAGACTGAAGTTAATCTTTTAGTTTGGCTATATGGTTACTCAGTTTTTATCATTAAACTAAATTTAGCTAGATCCAAATTATGGTTCGGTTGTAGTTTTTGAATTAAAATGGTTTAAATTGAAAAAAAGTTTCTAACTTAATCTAATTAGGAAATAGTTTAGTTTTTTTAAAAAATTCAAACCACATTGAAATTTTTAATAAAAAAGCAAAACTTAATTTAAAATGTTATTAAAATTCAAAAATTTTGACATGGTATATAGTAATAGGACTTGAGTGTTAGTCATACAAAAGAATAATATCATTAGTAAACCAAGAATTACTCAAATGTTGGCCATATATGTTGACAGCCATTTAAAATAAATTATTTATTGTTATTAACCGTGAAAGATAACAAAAATTAGAACTTTCACTTGTTTAAATTATAAACTAAGATAACTCGTTTAAAATAAATCCAATAGTACAAGTAAGAATGTGGAAAAGTATACCGCACTTTACAATCCCCATATTGGGGTTTTAATTCAACTTTTTATTACTTTTGGCTTTGATTAAGTGGATTTTAAAAGTAAATGGATGAAATTACAATATGTAAAAACTTTTGGATTGAATTGAACAAAATCAAGAACATTGATGCAGAATTGCAACAAAATAAAAAGTGGAGGAACTGATTTGAATAAACTCAAAACATGGAGGACTAATTTGAAAATATTTAAAACATTTGGACCCAATTGCTTGATCCCAAAACATTTTGGGTGAAATTAGAATTCAACAAAAGATAATTTTGAGTTGTTTAATTTTGACCTTGATGTAGTAAATGCAGAGACAACTTTTAAAAAAATTTATTAATCATGATAATTAATTTAGTTAAATGGTTAATTTATCATTAATTAAGATTAATTTAAATTAATTAATCACATTCGTTACTCTCTAAATAAGATAATCACACGAGTCTAATTACCTTAATTAAGTTCGATAAATATAATTAATTTACTCTAATTAAAATTAATTAATTCCATTAACCGCATATTAAACTAATCATCCTAATCATTTTATTTATTTATTATTTTTTTGATTTTTTTTCTTTCTTAAACTTAATAAACAAATCAACCCAACTCATAAACATAAGCTGCCTATCATAATGGGGAAAAACATATTGAAATATGAACAAAACAACTAAAGAAAATTAGAGTTTTTGTAAATTTATCAATTCATATCTAGATTTGCAAAGTCAGCAAACAACACAAAAACTAAATAATGAAATACTTAATTTTTCATTCAAAATATCAATGATTTATATAATTCATCATTGAATCAAAAAAGCTCTAGAAAAGAAGATCAAAATCAAACATGGTGGAGTTTTGAGAGGGCACAAATCATAGGTAGATCTAGGGTACCCCACCCATGAGATAATGCCCAAATCCTTCCCTTCACGGCTTTCTCCAAAACCCCTCCATTCCAAAGTTATACCTAGCTCAAGCAAAGCAATTTCCTTTGCATCAGCCTTAACATCAAGTCCAAAATTGCCTCTTTCTCAAGAAAGCTTGTCGATTTCATTCTTTATATTCTTTTCCACTAACTTCATCAAAAAAACCAAGAAATTCCAAAAATTCATTGAAAGATTGTTTAGAAGAAAAAAAAAAAAAAACCTGTTACCCCAAAAGAAATCTCCCATTTTACAATAAGAAAAAACCCTATTTATATCCCTCTTGAAAACCTTAAGAACTTTCCAGATAGGCCATCCATATTTTAGTGACCAAAGATCTGTAAATTGGTGCTCATTTAGGCCTATTCTTATGTCGATCTTCCATGTCCTAGCCCATCAATGTGAGCTGCGCTTCAACGAATGTGTTAGGCGCCTTATATCACATTGATTTATGACGTTTCATATCACATAATTTGCAACTTGAAGGGTGATCAGTATCCCAACTTGCCAATCAAATGTGGAACAATAGATCAAGTGAAATTGTGTTAGAGTTCCAAATGTACTCCTTTTTCATCATCGAGCATGTGAATCTTATGATGAAAAAGGAAACTAGAAGAACAACCATAAAACTACTTAAAAGTGGTTCATTGGCTTCACACAGTTTACCTGCCTCTTGAATCACTGATTGAAGATGATGGTAGTCAAAGATACAAAAGGAGACTAGAGGTGGCTATATAAAAGGATACAAATCGATGAAGGTCTAGAGATAGAAGATCAATGAAGAGGAGAAGAGGGAGCCTACTAGTAGTAAGGAAGAATAAGTGAAGGAAAGCTCAGTTGTGGAGATCATAGATGTGGAGATGAAGAGTCTGTGCAAATTTTGAAAAATGATGAAGCAAAAAGGCCAACAACTTTGTTTTTATGAGAACCAAATGCTTTCCTGCTTCTTTTTTTTTCTTTTTCTTTTTCTTTTAAGTTAAGTTTGTTACAAATTGAATGGTTAAATGGTGGGCATGGGTTTCAATAGGCCATGGTCATAAGTATTTTTCCAAATGGACTAATACACAACCACAATTGATGGACCATTTTATACCCCACTTTTTTCTCTCTTTTTTTTTCTTTTTCTTTTTCTTTTTCTTTTTTCATTCTTCATTTTTTTCAATTCTTCACCTTAATGCTTTCTTCATGTAAATAAGCTCCTAACACAAACTAAAAACATTAGAACGCATAAAACATAGTCATTGAAAATTTCTCATAAAAAAATTTAAAAATAGATGCTAAGTCAAAAATTGGGTTATGGTAATGTGAAAAAGAGTAATATCACTGGCAAGTTCATCATGATGTAACACTAGTATTGGTGATGTAAATGATGTATCAACAAATCTAGAAAGATTCAAATTATAATTTGTAAACATAAATAATACCATTAGCAAGCTTGAAGTTCTCAAAATCTAATGCTGACAAAGTAAAATGATAGGCAAGTTTAGGGAGCTGAGATGCTACCTCCTCCTTGTCATCATGATAATTGAAGATTGAAGCCAAACTTGTTCTAAAAATAAGCATCAATAGAAGACAAACTTCTAGACTCCTTAGTAGAGTTGCCAAATGTTTGGAGGTGTTTTTAGTTAATAATACAGATTTTTGCATGAATACTAACTAAACACCTATAAAGGTAATGTCAATAAGCCTAAGATAAAGATAACATTGACCAACACCACTAAAGTAAGGGAGTCCAACAAGTTGTACAACGCACAACACATGTAAATATAATTGTTATACCTTCAGGCTCTATCAATGCTGTGTTGGCAAAGTGAAATGATATTTCCATGTAAATAGGTCACACTATCAAAATAGTAAGATATCACCAACAAAATGATTAGCATCTAGTAAAGTAGGATATCTCTAGGAAATAATGAGCTTCTAGCAAAACAGTAGGATTTTTGCATGAATACTAACTAAACACCTATAAAGGTAATGTCAATAAGCCTAGGATAAAGATAACATTGACCAACACCACTAAAGTAAGGGAGTCCAACAAGTTGTACAACGCACAACACATGTAAATATAATTGTCATACCTTAAGGCTCTATCAATGCTGTGCTGGCAAAGTGAATGATATTGCCATGTAAATAGGTCACACTATCAAAACAGTAAGATATCACCAACAAAATGATTAGCATCTAGTAAAGTAGGATATCTCTAGGAAATAATGAGCTTCTAGCAAAACAGTAGGATACTACTAGGGGTGGATGAGCATATGGCAAAGTAGTAGGATGTTGGGAAAAGATTATGGACATTTGGCAAAGCAATGGCATCTTTGTTGGAAAGGAGTATGCCAACATTGTAGCATGATGTTGTTAGGAAAGATTGATATCGAGGTGGAGTATATTGCTGTGAAAGTAGATGCATGAGTGAAGTGCATCTTTAATGATAACTTACGAATATATATGAGCGTAGAAGATGAAGATAAAAAATACATCTCTTTATATATTTCTTTATGTCTTTATGTTCATGGATAAAGAAAGATAATATAAAAATACTGCATCTTTCTTATATTACATGTTTTGTAGTACACTATAACATGACTGCTCACACTCACTAAATAAGGAGAGTGAATGCAAGATTGTGGTAGAAAAAGAAGAAACAAATATAGTGAAAAACTAGGCTAAGAAACTAGCCTTAATGTTGTAGCT